CTATAAGAATATATATATATATATATATATATATATATATATAATTATTATCCTTTTGATCTTATAATTTTATGAACTTTAATTTGTAGTCTTAAATTTTACTTTTAATTTCTATAGTAATAGAATATATATTAAAAATTAATTAAGTGAATGTATAAGAAATAACAATACATTAAGGTATAAAAGAAATTTATCATTAAATAATTTTAAAAATTAATTATTGTTATTTATAATTAAGATTAAAGAAAATTTTATATTATAATTAAAATCAGATTTAATATTTTTTAAATAAAATTAGTATAACTAACCTTTTTTAGTTAGCCTAATTTTTTATTTATATTCACCAAAGGACTATAATTAATTTAACTAACTTCTTTAATTTTTCTAAATTGTGTGATTGAGCCTTAAAAAATGGTTTTAGTTCGTATAGTTTAATAAATTTTATCTTTTAATTTTTATAATAAAAAAATTATTTTATTTAATTATACTTTTAGTCCTTAAAATTTTATAAATTTTATTTTTTAGTTTTTATAGTTGAAAATATTTTATTGTAATCATTGTACATACTATTTACAATTTCATAAAATTTATCTTTAATATTTATACTTGAAAAAAAATTATTTTAATTACACTTTCAAATATGCTTCAAGTGCTTGTTATATTTAATGTTAATTATAAGTGAATTTTTTTTAAAAAAATTATTTTAATCTCTAAAATCATCAATAACATATTTAAAAGTGATAAATTGAGACAATTATGCAGTATCAATTATATTTATAATGATATTTTCATTAGCAGAACTAGGTAAATTTTATGCAACAGTATTTGACAAGTTCTAAACAAAGTTTGAGTATAAAGATTAAAACAAATTTTTTTGAAAACACAAATACTAAAAACAATAATTTTAAATCTATGAAACTAAAAATTATTTAAATTTAAATTTATTATATGAATTGTATTAGTATCATTATTCTTAAATTTATTTAATTTTGAAAAAAATTACAGATCATTTCTAACATTGATGAACCTTTTATTTTATTGACTAACTAGTAATTAAAAATTTTTTAAAAAATAATTTAATTGAAAATATTTTTTCGTGAGTAGATAATTAATACAATAAATACTTTAAAATTATTGAAAATATTAAAATATATCTAAAACGAGTCTTATTAAAAAAAATGCTAAGATTAAGTATTTTTTTTAATTTTTATTAAAATTTAAATATTATTTAAATTATTATTGTACATTAATAACACTTTCTTACACATTCTTTTATTCTCATTCACACTTTCTTATACATTCTTTTATTCTCGGTCAGTCTCTGTCCGGTACTGATAGGTCTAATTCGGTAGCGATTTTCCCGTTTTTACTGGTCTTCTTCTGAGCCTAATCACCTAGTTTACTGTTGTTGTTGATTTGTTGACATGATCCTAAAGTAGAAATGTCATTCAATCTCTGTAACTTATTCTACACAGATTTACATCGGATTATGCTATGCGATTTTGTTAAAAGTGTGGAGGCTAAACAGTAGAATGTCTACTTGTAATAAATGATCATTTACGTTTTCATCCACGTTAGTATCTAATTTCTACTTAAATTCTTATTATGCATAACACATTACATGTCAATGAAATGATGAACTAGTGTAATTTTAAAAACAAATTATAAAAGTTATACTTGAAATCATATTTTCAAATAATTATATTTAATAATAATATTTTTACAACTTTTCAATAAATGTATTTTAAGAGAAATTATTAATCTTTTTTATTTTTTAATTTATCATTTTTATCATTTTATAAATTGAATTTTAAATATATTTTAAAATTATCAATGATTAAAAATATTCATTAATTATAAACATAGAATATAATTTAAAATATATTTATAAGACACCTCATAATACAATGATAAAATAAGAAATATAAGAAAAATAAATTCTATGTCTAAGGTACCCAAAATACAAGGGTAAAATAGAAAATTAAAGACAAAGACAAAAATAGGAATAAATCCTATACTAATAAAAAGTTAGGAACTAAGGCCCAAAAGTAGTCTCACTCCTCTTATGGTTTTCAAAACTAACACATTTTTCTTGTCTCCTTCAATATATCACCTCTTGGTTTTATTGGCTTTAGTGTGATTCCATCATTCCCTCCCTCTTGAAAAGGATTTGACCTCAAATCAAGAGGTTCTTCATGATGGACGTCATGACCAACAAAAACATAAAAATAAGCATTAGAGACAATAGGATATGATATAAATGGAAAGTGCATCCTAAGAGGAGTTCCCACTAGTACAAAAATGACTTTTAAAATCGGGGTTTTAAAATCGGTCATAAGGTAGCCGATTTTAAAAGTGACGCGGTGGCAATTTTGTAAATAATGGCATTACTTTTAAAATCGGCTACGTTATGACCGATTTTAAAAGTCTCTGATGCTACTTTTAAAATCGGCTGTTGAACAGCCGATTTTAAAAGTAGCATCAGAGGGTTAATCTATACTATCTCCGCTCTCATTGCTCCATTCTCTACTCTTTGGCTTCAATATCATATATTCTTCTCTTTACTCTCTCGGACTCTCATCTGAAGTGTTCAGCTTCTCATTTTCTCGGAAGAATACAACATCAAGGTAACATTCTCGTCTCATGTCTTTTATTTCGTTGTATCTGGGCAAATTTTGAGTATGGAACGGCCCTAGAACGGTCCCAGAACAGCCCGTTCTGCAAGCAGAACGGCCTGCACTGCTTGCAGAACGGCCTGCACTGCTTTCAGAACGGCCTGCACTGCTTTCAGAATGGCCCGTTCTACAAGCAGAACAACCTGTACTGCTTGTAGAACGGCCCGTTCTGCTTGCAATACAGGCCGTTCTGCTTGCAGTACAGGCCGTTCCAGACTAAATTTTAGGCACTGCAAGCAGTTTTAAGCATTTTTCTAAATTAGATCCCTTGTATGTATGTGTTATATATTTGTATTTTATTAATAATTTGTGATATAATTAATGTCTAGCTAGTAATTTAGTGTTTAGAAAAATTAGGTGCTTTATTTGATTTTTATAAATTAGTATGATGTTATATTTATGCACATATTGAGTGAACCTTAGTTTCTCAATGTAGTGCTCATTGGCAACTTCTGATTATTTGTCCTATGGACAATATATCTGTATGCATTTGTTCGATGCACAAACCTCCTAAAATTGATTTTTATATTCTTTTTGTAGTCTCATAAGCAAAAAGGAAACTATGAGTGCGGATACTATGTAATGAAGGCAATGCATACTATTGTTGATTCACAAATAGTATCTGGGTGGACTGAAGTACGTTTTAGAATTTTAAAATTTTTTATTTTAAGTTTGCATTTTATCATGTTTTAAGAGTTACTTCTAATTGTTCTAATTTTTCTTAACAGATATTTATAGATCGATCACCATTGTCGCTAGAAGATATAAACACCATTAGGGAGCAATGGGCTACATTTTTCATTGAAACATTAGCTAGCTACGAGTTATGTTTATAGTTTTACTCAATTTGTAGTTTAGGATGCATCATAATTTGTAAGTTACTTTGATTACACATATGGTTGACATTTTCCAACTCTTGTCATTTGTATGTAATTTGGTATATTAAAACATATGAATTGTCTGGTATTTTATTAATTTGCAGGTTATATTCAGGGATCCTCCTAAAATAAGTCAAATATTTAAAAAAAAATTAACCACTTTTAACATCGGTCATGGCATGACCGATTTTAAAAGTGGGACTTTTAAAATCGGTCAGCGACCGATGTTAAAAGTCCCACTTTTTAAAATCAGCTATTTTAAAATTGGTCGGGGAACCGATTTTAAAAGTCAAAAATGACTGATTTTAAAAGTGTTTTTTCCACTAGTGTCCACTGAAAATGCTAAATAGATTGTCTAAACTAAAAGGACTAGACTCTCTAATGCTAAAGGTAAGATCCTTCCCATGGTTAAGTCTAGGTGTATAACTAAAGCCTAAAAAGGTAAAAGACTAAAACTATAGCACACTAAAGCATTAGTCCTAAAAACTAAAATATCTTGTTGGAGATACCCAATGTAGTGACCTAGGTATGTCATGGAAAACAAAGAAAACTTAACTAAAAATTTACCTAAACAACTTTGTATTGCATTATTTGTTAGATACATATGAGAAAAGGGTGTTAAGAGGAGTCTAGAAGACTCATATAATCTAAGTTTGTCTTGTAGGGAAATAGTCAAGTTAAGTTCAAATAAGTTAGAACTTCCCTCAAGATCAAAAATAGAAAATACGACATCATGAGATGTATCCAACAAACTATACAAACCAACAGTTGGGTGCTTTATGAAGACAACTAAAGTAGAAACAGTCTTAAAGAAAGAAGGTTTATCTACCTTGGGCACCACCAAGGAAGTAGCACAAGAAGTAGGACTAAGTGAAGTCCACTTCTTCTTCACTAATTCTTGAA